AACTCGTGGGGAATTTGCTAAAGATTTCAGGGGTTTGGGGGAGAGGGCCAGTTAACCTCACACACATGTGTTCAGCAAGTTTGTTGAGACCTTCCTCTGGGCTGCGGGCCCAACTCTCTTCTCTTCCTTGCCTTTTTGACCTCGACACCAGCCCTCCCCCTCCTCCTCCCTCCTTTGCCTTCCAGAAAAGCCCCTTCCTTCTGCAGAAAATGTAGGAGGCCCTCAAAGTTGAGGCTGGAAACTCCCTCTCCACCCTTTGAAAAGTAGACTTCTCAAAAAGACCCCTTTTTTCTCAAAGAAACGTTCATGCCAGTAGCTACAGAGATGTTTCTCCACAGCCTTTGCAATTATCTTTAACATGGTGGTCAGTGCAGAGAAAGATTCATAACTCAAAGCTGTCGCTAGAGTGAGGCATCAGGAGTTCTAATCTCTTTGCTTTTCCTTGGGATAGTCCAGGTGCCCCTGGATGGGTAGAGAGCTGCCAGCCTTGGCCTGGTTTCAGTTCTGCAGCATGCCCCCCCCCCCCATACAACATTAAGCTCCCCTCAAGCTCCCCTCCGCCAGGTCTCTAAGAGGGCTGTGACCCACTCTGAGGCCCACATTCAAGGTCATCCTCCATACCTGGCTACTGGGCCTTTGCCTCATTTCTTGGGTTGCCTCCTCTCTATCTCATGGACACCTGTTCATTTCTCAGTCTCACTCTGAGTAGGTCCTGCCTTGTACCCACAGCTTTTCCCCATCTTTGGGGGTTGGACTCCTGCCCCAGCTGGAACCCTAAGACCTAATGTGTGACATTAGGAAAACTGATGAGCCCCTGGGTTTGCAAAGGCACCTTCTACTCCCCACTTTGGTCACATAGAACCCTGGGGTTCCTTTTGGTTACTATCAGCAGCCACCACTAGTTACAGGAGTAAGGGCCAGCTTCTCCCTGCAGCCTGCCCCAGGTCCCCAGACAAGCAAGTCTCATGCCGAGTTCTTCCCTAAACAGATGTTTATCAGCAAGTAGGCACAAACCAATCAGTCTGCCTTGTGTGCTTGATAAAGTCCAAACTCTCTTCTGTAGAGAGCTCTGTGCATGAAAGAAAGGTTCACTTGGGGCAAATGTGACAAGACTTTCATAGTGGGATTGGCGCACCATCCAATCAGACTCAGGCTGGCCCATATTCTCTGGAATCAGCAGCTGGATATAGGCCATGGGCAGCATTCCTAAGAGGGAAGGAGGAAGGCTCATTAGAGTCTAATACCCTGTTTCTATGTATTGTGGAGTTTCTCCATGTTTCACCAATGACAGCCCATCCCTCCATGCATTATGCTAATTAACAGGACCTCTGGTATTGATCAGAGATAAAGACAGCTGAAGCACTTGTGGGAGTACCTCTGGGCTATGGCCTTCTTCTTTGCAAAATTTTATTAAGCCCAGCCAGCGTGGCTCAATGGTTGAGTGTAGACCTATGAACCAGGAGGTGGAGGTTCGATTCCCAGTCAGGGCACATGCCTGAGTTGTGGGTTCAGGCACACAGGGCTTGCAGGAGGTAGCTGATCAATGATTCTCTCTCATCATTGATGTTTCTACTTCCATCTCCCTCTCCCTTCCTCTTTGAAATCAATAAAAATATTTAAAAAATATAAAATGTCATTAAATTTATTGGGGTGACAATGGTTAATAAGATTATATAGGTTTCAAGTGTACAGTTCTATGATACATCATCTGTATATTGCATTGTGTGCCTACCACCCAAAGTCAACTCCCCTTCTGTCACCATATATGTGACCCATTGTCCCTCTTCCACTCTACCCGACTTACTCTCTGGTAATCACCATACTGTTGTCTTTGTCTATAAGTTTTTGTTTGTTTGTTCATTTGTTGCTTTTATATCCCACATATGAGTGAGATCATACGGTTCTTGACTTTTCCCGTCTGATTTATTTTGCTTAGCATGATATTCTCAAGATCCATCCGTGTTGTTGCAAAAGGCAATATTTTATCTTTCCTATGGCTGAATAGTATTTGGTTATATATACCCAAACATCTATTGAAGGACACTTTGGTTATTTCTATGTCTTGGCTACTATGAATAATGCTAAAATGAACATAGGGGTATATATATCTCTATGAATAAATGTTTTCAAAATTTGGGGGTGGACAACCAGAAGAGGGATTGCCTCACAAATGGCCTTCTGATTAAATTCTAATGACCACCGCTTGAGTCGCCATAGTTAGGGTGACAGGAGTCCTCTAGGGTGTGGATTAAAAGGAGCGACTCACCCTTAGATAGCATTTCAGTGTTGAAGAATTTCAAAGTCAATGGTACACATCACAGTACCAGAACACCGCAATCTCTATATTAATAGTAATAAACAGCATTTCTTTGGCTTACAAGACATTATTTCATGCTTTTCAGCCCCTTACAAAGTACGTCCCCTGAATTATTTCTAGGCACCCCTGACATCTCTCACAGATTCCCCATTAGTGTCCCTCGCTAGCTCAGCACAGCTCCCACTTCATCCTTTTCACCCTCAGCTCCCTTAGCAATGGGTATTTGTTGCTGGGCAGGCCTCCAGCAGCACTCCTCATTTGGGGGGCAAGCTGCTTCTTCCCAGTCCAACCATCAGTGACCTGGTTGGGCCAATCAGAGTAGCCACATCCTTTTGGTCAAAGTGATTGTCCAGGAATAGGCAAGTGGCTTGCAAAGCCAATCAAGAGACTTGCTGGAGGCATTTTTTCAACCCAGAGTTGATGAGGACACTCTCTCTCCTCGCTAGTATTTAGGTCCAAAGCTGCATGCACTCATGGCTTTTGCCATGGGGGCGGGGGGCGGGGCGGGAAACTACATTGTGAGAATGAATTCAAAATGCAAAGAAAATCAGAGACATAAGTTGTCATGGACTGAATGGTTATATCCCATACCCCTCCCTCACCAAATTCAGATGTTGACGTCCTAACCCCAATGTGACTGTATTAGGAGGTGGGGCCTTTGGGAGGTAGTTAGGTTTGGATGAGGTCAAGAGGCTGGGGCCCCCATGATGGGATAAGCACACTTCTAGGAAGAGGAAGAGACACCAGAGCTCACGCTCTCTTCCCATGTGCACTCACACAGAGAAGAGACCAGGAGAGGACACAGCAAGAAGGTGGCCTTCTACAAGCCAGGCAGCTGGCTCTCCCCACACACTACCATGCTAGTTTCTTCATCTTAGGCTTCCTAGCCTCCAGAGCCGTGAGAAAGACATGCCTGCTGTTTAAGCCACCAAGTCTGTAGTATTTTTTATAGCAGCCCAACCTGGGGAAGAAGTCTGGATAACAGCTGAATCTCTGATTCTGGCCGTCCCTGGGTCCAGCTGGACTGCCGTACTTTGCGCGGTTTGCTTATGCAGCCCACAGATTCCCTTTTTGGCTCATGCTGGTGAGAGTTAAGTATCTGATTAATTTTTTCACCATCAACAGTAGTCAGTAGTTGCTGAACAGGACCAAACTTTCACTCTTTGTTGGAGCCCTGTGCTGCTGGAGCCCCTGATGCTTGCTGATATGGACCATGGTCACCCACTGTGTCCTCCTCATGCTGCCCAGCGTGTCTGAATCCAAACCCGAGGACCATCCAGGCCCAAACAGAGACCTCAGAATTCCAGTGCAGTTGGCCTGTGGCCAGCATGTTTGGCAGACGCCTACACTTGGGGCTACGGTTTGCCTACGACCTCTGGACTTGCCCACTGCCAGATCAGGCATATTGCAAATCAATTAAGGCCTGAGAAGTGATTTGGGTGCCTTGTTTTTGAAAGATATATTGTCAGGCAAGGTATCATACTGGCCATCCTCTTCAGGAACTATTTCTGCCTTCTGAGAAGGACTTCTGCCCCCAGGACCTGAGACTAATCCTGCCCCTTGGCGCTAGCTGGGGCCCAGGTCCTGACCGCACTCTCCTTTTCCACCTGTCCTCAGGCCCTACTGTGTGCACTGTGGCTAACTGCTCAGTGGTCTCCACAAAGGCCTCACACATTCGGAGCCTCAGTGAGGCCTGTGTGTCAGGTGTTCAGTGTCTGTTGATATACCCAGCTTCACATCTCATTTATTGATGTATTTCTACACTGACTTACCCGGAACTTGTGGTCTTGGCAAACAGGACCCTCTTGATTTCTATCAGCACCTTCCACACAGAGGAAGCCAGATAGCATCGTATACATGTACCGATGGCTTGTTTTCATCTCTGATCAAGAGGCTGAAGCAGCAGATTCTCATGCAGTTTTCTCCTTTGCCTGAGGACAGATGATGAAGCACCTAGGGTTTAGTTATCTCATCTGGAGAATGGGACCATTGTTGAAACACTGTTCGAACCTCACCTACAACAGGACTGTCCTGGACCTGCAGCAAAGACTTCTGAGTGTCTCACGCTCCTTAAGAGAAGGGAGTTTCCCAAGAGGACACCTTGTGCGAGAGCAGAGAGCAGGAGTGGGAGCTGCCTGGTGTCACAGGTGGTTTGGGGTGTATCCACGTTCTTGAATTCTTTCATGAGCCTCATGGCTGTGACTCTTTCGGCCTGTCACCCTCCATCTCCTCTTACTCTCAATAAGTAATCATCTCTAGTTTCTCCGGCCCCAGACTCCAGACGGAGCTGGTCTGACCAGCCAAGACTGGACATGCCCCCTCCTATTCATTGTCTTTCAAAATAATAGAACTTCCAATTTTTAGTGAGGCACAGAATACAGGGTGGGGCAAAAGTAGGTTTATGGTTGTTTGTATGGAAAATAATACAATAATTAATAAATAATAAACTTGGTGTTTTGTGTACTCACAACTGTAACCCTACTTTATATGAACCCTGATTTTTCACTAGGCACATAGCTGACTAGTATAGGACTAACATTTCCCAGGCTTCCTTGCACCTGGGTGAGGCCATATGCTCATGTTTTGGTCAATGGGATGTGAGTGCAAGTTATCTGTGCAACTTCCAGGTTTCAAGGGAAGGGGCATGTCCTCCAGGGTCCTTTTTCCTTTCCTACTTACTGGAATGTGGATGCTGCAAGCCATCTTGGACAGTGAAGATGAGGACACAACTATAGAGTTGGGAGAGCAACAGGATAGAAAGTGCCTGGGTCCCTGACACCTTTGCTGAATAGAGCTGCCATACTAGCAAAGACTTCCACAAGAGAAAAAAGTAAACATAGATTTGTTTTAACCCTGTTATTGGGGTTTGACCATGGCAGCTGAGCCACTGTTAGCTTTAGGAAAACACGAGTTAGCAGCCTCAACTGGAAAGCCTATGGTTGGACTCCTTGGGCCCAATCAGTGACCACCTTAGCACAGAGAATACCTGTGGGAAGGGCAGTTTCAGGCAGGAAGGGACATATATTACTAGGCAGGGCAGGCATCAAAACCAGAAACTCGCAAGATGTCACAGATCATTTTCACTAGGTGAATAGAAAAGGATGTCAATTGTGTTTGTCTGAATATCTGTGGAGTTCCTAGATAACAAGCAGAATGAATAACACCAGGTTGGAAATTCCAAGCTCAGTGGTGTTGAGAGCTGGGGACATCATCAATGGGAGTTTGAGGCATCCTTAATCTGACTCAGTGGCAACCATGACTGCCTCTTTCTATCCTGTAACTTCATGTTAAATTCCCTGGTGAGGGACTCTGATGGGCTCAATTAATTTTATCACCTTAGTTTTCTCAGTTCCCTTTGCATCAGACCATGTCATAAGCCACTAGCCATCTATAGTAGGGTGTCCACTCCTGGTCCCCTCTGTGGTCACCCCTGTCCAAAAGTTATCCCAGGACTGTCTTCCCTAGGTAGATGGGTAGGTGGGTTAGGGGCTGTATGCTAGGCAGTTTCAGTCAAAGGGGGCATTGGACATAGAAAAAAATACCTAAAGCATTAAGGAATTGGCTGCAGCCACTTCTGATGATTCTGGCAGGTTTTAGCACCGGAGGTTCTAGTCAAAGCATGAGAAGGGACCCCAGAATGCGTAAGACCAGGTGCTAGTGGCATGAGCCAAAAGCGAGGCCCCAGGCTTTGGCTGGAGCACTTCCGGGTGTGGAGGGAGAGTGGGAAGAGTCCAGCTGGAACATGGCAGAAAGGACTTGTGGTCCAAGGAGACTAAAAGAGGCTGTCAGGCCCATGGGGGTATAAAGTAGAACTTAAGTGTCAGAAGCAAGACCAAAGACAGTTTTCAAATGTGGGGCACAAGGTCTGCCCATGGTCTTTTACTTTTCTGCCTGACTCTAGCAGATTTCAGATCACTCCGCTGGATTCATCTTCCCTGTTGCCCTGCTGTCAGCATGCTTTCATTTATTCTCACTGGCTCCTACCCTCGGCTCATAGTCACCCAGACAATGAACAGTGGGGCCCGGCTTCTTCTTCCCCAGAGTAATTTCTGGAAAAGAGGGGCTGCCAAGGTCGTATTCCTCTAAAGTTTCAAAATGATGGAAAGATGGGTGGGATGAAGAGATGGGCAGACATCCTAATTGCCCATCAGCCCCCATTCTCCCCTCCTATGAAGGTGAGGAGTGGCCAAGGGACAAAGCAAAAGGCCCACATACCTTCTTTCAGAGGAGCTGGTTTGGTTAGTAGAAACTTTTCTGCAGGTTTGCAGCATGGCTGGGTGGGCTGGGTCTCCAGGATCCTTCTTGGATTCCTAGGTGAGCTTAAGGATGGAAGCCACGTGCTGAAGAGGGAAGAACAGAGAGCTCAGAGTTAGAGCCTCTGATGCTGCTATGGTGCCCTAGAGCTGGAGGGTCAGCCTCCAGGGGCTCTGTACCTAAGTGAGGAATGAGCTTGTGCCTTGTGGAAGCCCTCACTTCTCTGTGCTTTGTGGTTCAGCAACACAGGCACCCCTAGGAGCTTGTGAGGAATGCTGAACTTCAGGGCCTGCCCGGACCTTTTGAATCAGAATCTGTACTTCACCAAGGTTCACAGATGATTCACGAACACATGATGATTTGAAGAGCATTGATTTAAGCCATCATCACAATCATCATGATCATCATTTCTATTGTTTGCTGCTGAATCTAGTTCTTGCCAATAGAGAAGATGAACCCCATTTGGTGTCACCAAGGAAGTGGGGCTGAAGAATGGACTGCTGAGAAGGTCGCTGTTGGGTCTTCCCACTTCTCTCACCCCCCACTCCCAGGAAAAGCATGCATGACTTTCTAGAAAACCCTCATGTCCCCAAGTCATACCATGAGGGGCTCAGGGAACCTTGACCTAGGTTCTTGAAAATTAAGGTTCCTGCCAGCTGCAATTGCCTCTACTCCTTCCCCTTCTGTCTCTAGACCCAAGAGTGTCAAAGGGTAGATGATGGTGTTTAGCCCACAGGAGGTAGGTGAAGGGGCCCGCAGTCATTCTGAAACTGTAAGGTATAAAATAGGTCATCCTTCCCCGAAGCTTTGCCTTCTGTTTTTAAACACAGGCGTTTCTTAGGCTTTGTTTCTAGGGCTGGCTAACTCAGACTCAGTTGCCTAGAAGGGTACACTCTCTAGTACAAAACTGGGCAGGATCCCTTCCAGAATGTCCATATCTGCCCCTGATGGTCAGGGGAGGGGTGAGAAAGAAGTTTACTGAGGATGTCTCCTAAGGATGATCTCCTGGAAAATGGTTCTTGACATGCTACCAACTGAACTCATTGGTGGCAGCCTGTACATCAGCCTGCTGGAGTCCCTTGAAAACAGTCAACTCTAGCGAGGCAATGGAAAGTAATGGCTAAGAATACGAGTCTGGGCTTCAAAGGGATCTTGTTTCAAATCTCAATTCTGCCCTTTGCTACCTATGACCTTGAGCAAGTTTCTAACTTCTCTAAGCCTCCTCTGCAAGCTCCTGGTAGCCCAGTCCTACGGAAGTGCCCTGAGTTTCCTCATCTGTACATGGGAGGAATAATAAGAATAAGAACAACAAAAACCATCTTTCTTGGAGAGCTCTGTGGACTTAGGTACTTGACCTTGTGTACAGTTAAATCCTCAGTTTTTGATGTGGGGAGGTGTGTGGACATCACAGGCCTTGTAAACCAGCATCTCTCAAACTTTATTGCCCAAATGTGTCACCTGGAGATTTTGGTAAAAAGCCATGCCTGTTTGGGCAGGTCTGTTTGGGGCCTAAACTTCTGTACATGTGAAAGCTTCCCGGGATGCTGCTCTGGGGACCACTTCCTATGGCAAGAGTAGACTCTACCACCGACCTGTGGATATAGATACTGCCCCTTAGTGTTCAAAACGTGACCCGACAATTTCAGACACTGTATTACAACAAGCAAATGAATTGCCATCTATTGCTTGATCTCACCACAAACTTTCTGTTTTCATTTCTGTTTTGTTGCTGTTGTAAATAACCTCCTAGAGGCAGAACTTCAATGTGGATGAAATGCCAAGACTTAGAGAGATGGTGAACCCCGCAGGCAGCGGGATCTGGTTCTAGCCGGGTCTTGGTGGTGTGTGATTTCCTGTGTTTATTAGTAAAAAAATACCTCCCGGATTGATGTGGCAGTTTTATTGTGGTTATGGCTTTCAACACACTTACTGCTTTTTTTTTTTTTTGTAAAACAGCAACAGCCCCAATGATGACAGGTTTCTTTGAGGGCTTGAGGCGGACCTGGGGTACATCCTTGGTCCTCACTGGGGCATATCCTTTGGCCTTTTTCTGAGCGCACACCAGGGCAAATAATCTATGTGGACCTCGTACTTGTTGTTGGAGCAAACAACTGCAATTCTGTTAGAAAAACATGAGGTTTGCAGCCCCTCCCAGCTTCAACTTCCAAGAGGAAATAACCCCTCAACAACTGAAAAGAGGACCCAGTTGTTTTGTAGTCAAGACTGCCTGGGTCACTGATCTCAATGGCAATGCTCACAGTTGCTGGAAATTCAGAGATTCATACGTTCTTGGAGCTGAACTTGGCCTGAGAAATTCTAAAGACAACTCCTCAGTGTTTCAGGGGTGGAAACCGAGACCAGAGGAGCTAAGTGACTTAGCCAAGATCACACAGCTAGCCTGGCCTTCATGACCGTTGTAGAATCCTCCCACAGATAGTTTAGATGCATTTTTTTGCCTCGTCATCCCCATTTTCTACAACTTCTATGATGTGATAAAAACAATGTATTAATTATTTCTCTCTTTTCTTTATGAATTTTTCCATTATGGAAACAACAAATACCATATTACATGCAGTATCATTAGAAAACAGAGGGGAAAAACACCTACTCTATCTTTTTGACCTGATGCATATCTACTACTTTAAAATCCTTTGGTATTTTTCTTATTTTGCTTTTTAATTATTAAAATATAGTTGCCTGGAAATAAACATTAAAAACACATAGAACACCATAAAAGTAAGTCTTCTTTTCCATTCCTTTCCTCGTTTCCTCCTAATAGGTTTCTTCCTTTGATTGCTTTTGTTTCTATTTCTTCTGGTATTTATCTTGATAGTGCTAAGTAGCATACCACACCTACGTCTTCGATTATCAGCTCCAAGCACTATTGAAGAACTTTTAGCTGCAATAGGTGAGAAACTTATTCACTTACAGATCCCCTTCTCCCACCTGCAAATCATGGGTAGTTGTGTATTTTTATTTCTTCTGATGGTTAACCTTATGATTTTACAGAATATTCACTTTCTGTTTATTGACCCATTAATTGTTGGTGGGTCCCCTCTATGTAAGATGGAAAATTAATACCCCCTTTCTTCTCTCCACTGCTTCTCTCCCATCTACTCCTCACCCTCTCTCAGCTATACCACCTGTCATGTTGCCAAGGCTTCCAGCACATGCCTCTGTTTAGTAAATTTGTTCTCCATGTTCTGTCAGTTAAGTCTGATCATTTAAAGCCAACGAGCAAGCTGTATTTAAAGTACAGATATTGTAAATATTAGTCTCTACAGAAGCAGGAATTATGTTGGGATCTGTAGAGGGGAATATTCCAATGTCAAGGCCAAGTGGGTCTTCTTTTCTTAGGCTCCCTTGACGGTACAAAATCATACGTTTTGGTTGGTTTTATATTTGGGCCATGATGTGTGTGTGTGTGTGTGTGTCTTCATAACTTATTATTTTCTAGAATTTTTAGTTGATTGACAAAGAAGCATGTATCTTCTTTATAATATTACAAATACCTTCCAGCTCTTTAATTATATCATTTATTTGTTCCAAATATACAGACCTTCGGCTAGGCCAACTGCACATTATACTGGAGTTTCATTAAATTGCATTACGAGGCTGGTTTAATTGGTTTTAATTCTCATATTCTTTTCTTGCTTGGGTAGTACATCATCAAGTAATTTTATTTCCAAAAACTGTATGGGAATCCAAGTTCCTGCATGGCACTGGATCCATCGTTTTGCAAGATATCAAATTCTAGGCACAAAATTATTTCTGTGGACTTTGAAGGTAGTTGCTCCATTGTCTTCAAGCTTCCGTGCTGCTGATGAGAAGAATGAGGGCAATCTCCCTTTTAGTCTCTAGTTGGTTATCTGTTTCATGTCTCTCACTGAGTGTTTTAGGGTCTCTTTTTATTATCAGAACTCTGAAATTCCATGAGGTGGCTTCTATGAGTTATTCTTTGTTTATTGTACCAGGTACTCGGGATCTTTCAGACTAATCCTTTTGTTTTTCTTCAGCCCTGGGAGAATCTTTTTCTAGTACTTCTTTGATAATGTTCTCTTCTCCATTTTCACTCCTCTTCTTTTTTGAAACTCCTATTACACATATGTTGGCCAACCTGAAGTGACACTTCCTGTATTTTTTTTCACAAATTACCCTCTTTTTGTTGTTTTCTTGGTTATAAAGTAATATATATTCATTGTAGATAATTTGGGAAATAATTAAATGATTCAAATATCCTCAAGTTTGTGGGTAAAATTATATTCTAATAATGTGATATGTTATAATATAATATTTTTGCCTTTTACCAGCCCATTAACCTCTATTTTCATAACAATATGAGTGTTTTCTCTTTTCCAAAATTTGCCATAGTTATTTCTGGGTGTTTACAAGGAACAGTTAAGAGAGAAGTATATCTCTGGAAAACATAGATAGGATACACAGTGGTTTTATTGTTGGATTATTTATAATATTGAAAATTGGGGTCTGGCTGGTGTGGCTCAGTAGTTGAGCATCAACCCATGAACAAGGAGGTCACCAGTTCTAGTCCCAGTTGGGGCACATGCCTGGGTTGCGGGCTCGGTCTTCAGTGGGGAGGGGGGTACAGGAAGTAGCTGATTTTTTTTTCTGACCCAGGGGTGATTCTCTCTCATCATTGATGTTTCTCTCTCTCTCTCTCTCTCTCTCTCTCTCTCTCTCTCTCTCCCTTCCTCTCTCTGAAATCAATAAAAAAGAAAGAAAAATTGGGGAAAATATCTACCAATAAAGAAATAAGAAAATTATGGTATCATCTACAAATACTTTATAGTTCTTAAAAGTGATGTTTGTGGGCAATTTTTAATGATGTGAGATAATTTTTTGATGTAATAGTGAAAAAAAGAATACAAAATTGTATGTATCACATGATTTCAATGATGTAAAAAACATATTCAAATTAATGAGTGTGATCAGTGAGGGAAGAGATAGCAAATAACGCTTATTTTCTTCTTTGTACTTGTTGTGAGTTTGGTTTTATCCCTGACACGTTGATAGGAAAGGTTTCTATTCTAGAAACTCCACCTACTTCCTTAAAATTGGGGATTTAAGTCACACTTTGCACATTCTGTCCACTCAGCTTCCGGCGCACTTCCGCCTGCTCCCCACCACAGTGCCATCACTCGCTTCTGGGGCAGCCGCTCAGAGATGTCAGGAATGAACATTCTAGTTCTGTTTTTGACAGCACTTTGCAAAGCAGTATATATTGTGACATTTGCTCCTTTGTTGGTTTGAGAGCCGCTGGAGTGTTTTTGCCTGTTTTGAAACAACGGAACTCTGGTGTTTATTGGATTTGTGGGGGAGAATATGACATCTGTTTCGACTTCCACCTAATACAATTAATATTCAAAAGCATAGATGACTCCCGTCCTAGCCTCCCCTATTCCCCAGTGTCTTATGTCCATTGGTTATGCTTATATGCATGCATACAAGTCCTTTGGTTGATCTCTTACCCCCCTACCTCCCGCCCCCGAACCCTCCCCGGCCTTCCCGATGCATTTCCCACTTTCAATGGAAAAAAACCAAAACCCTTTGCTTTGGCTTTGTTTTGTTGGTTCTGTTTGCTTTTAATAGCTCTTTGCACAAATGTATTAGGTCTTGGTTTGACGTAGAGTCCAATACTATCTAGAGTAGTAATAGGTGGAGGAGTAGGACACTGCTGAGCCTTCTACGACCTGATAGGTCTTCCTCTGCCTCAAAATGTTCCGTCATTCCTTGTCGATGGGCACCGTTGTCACACGCACTAGTGATTTTAAAACTGGCTCCATATCAATAGAAAGGTACTTGACATACACATAAAACCCTTAAAAATGTGCAGAAGTTCCATTTATCCTTAAAACACACACACACACACAACACCATGATGGTCAATGCAGCGATACTTAGAGTAGTAACCTTGACCTTTATATCCTCACCTCCATGAGACTGTGAACAAATCAAGAACATGGTGGATGCTAATACGGCGCTTCCATGGGCCAGGCACTGTTTAAGTGCTTTAGATACATTTGTATTCACAACAAACCCGTGAGGGATATCCCTACTCTACAGGTAAGGAAACTGAGGCTCAGAGAAGTTAGCTGATTTGCTGAAGGTCACCGAGCCTTTCAACTCAGGTAGTCCAACTCCAGAGCCACGCTTTTCATCACTGTGCTCTGCTGCCTCAAGTCAACCATGGTCCAGAAGCACCAAAAGGGTGTTGTAGAAGGCTGGGCAATACATTCAGTCTGGTTCATTCTTCTTGTTAAAAATGTTCTTCGTTGTGCTTTTTTGGTTACCATTGCTTGCTCCTGAAGTCAGAACATTTTAAAGTGTTGCAATCATTCAGTTTTTCAGTTGGTATGAGGGTGCCACAGAAGAAGCCAACCCAGGCTCTGGGCTGGGGAGTGGTGGGGGGTGGGCAAGATCAGAGGCAGTGGGGATGGAGGGACGCAGGCAGACTTCATGCAAGGGCTGTTCGCATGGAGCCTTGAAACCATACAAAATTCACAAGGAGAGAATTCACAAGGACCTAGTGATGGTTCCTGAACACATGCTCTCTTTTTAAAATATATATATATATATATTGATCTCAGAGAGGGAGAGGGAGAGAGAGATAGAAACATCAATGATGAGAGAGAAACATCGATCGGCTGCCGCCTTGCACACCCCCTACTGGAGATCAGCCCCCAACCTGGGCATGTGCCTTTGGTCGGAATTGAACCCAGGATCCTTTAGTCCGCGGCAGGCGCTCTATCCACTGAACCAAACCGGCCAGGGCTGAACACATGCTCTTTTATTCAGTCATAGTGTCCCAGCCCTCTTGGAGTCTCTCAGCAGCTGAGTCAGCATCATTTTTCTGGGGGGAGAGGTTTCTGGGTACAACAGACTGAATTCCACAGTCACCGTGGGGGCTCCCCTACTCTTCCAGAGATAAAGTTTCCTCCCGCTCAGGTCACCGTCGTCTCCATGACACCCATGGTTTGAGGTGGGGGGATGGGGTACCAAGACCCCATCCAGGCTAATACATTTGTGCAAAGAGCTATTAAAAGCAAACAGAACCAACAAAATAAAGCCAAAACAAAGTCAGACATCCCTCTTGCAATCCAGGACCACTGGCTCCTGGCCGCTCACCTGCCTGCCTGCCTGGGGGTATGGGGTACTTCAGAAGCAACCCTGGAAATTTTCTGTTGCGGGAAATGACTGCACTCCATGCAGAGGTGGGATGGCATAGGTGTCAAAAGGGGGCCCCCCAAGGGGAGTCTGAGTCCACAGGAAGAGACCCCCCCCCGGGGCCCATGCAATGGCCCTGCTGAGATTAGACCTGAGATAAGGGTCGGTTTCACACATGGTCAGGCGCTTCCTGTGCACTGAGCTGCCACAGGAGCATCTCAGCCTCTGTGGACGCCATGGCAACTGGAGGCAGTGTTCACAGAGATGACACCGAACTGCCTTTGCCATGCTCCTTGCTATACCATCAACTCAAAGCAAACCAGAGGCGCCTGCCCCCTCCCCCCCGCCCCCCAGGAGAGCTGTTCCCATCTCCCAGGTCACGAACACACTGCCCTCCTCTTGGCCACTGGTCCTCAGTCACTTCCTTCTGCACGTTCCTAGGGTAGCCGGCTGGAGTCTCCCCCAAACTGGGGAAGGGAGGCCCATGCTTCCCAGGTCCTGGGGCCTTGCCCTCACCCGCGTGAAGGGTAGATTAAAACCTGAACTTTCCTCGTGGCTAAAAGGGAGAGAGACCCTCCCCTGCCCCTTTGCAGAGCGTTTCTGTGAGAAACCAAGTGTTTGTGAACCCTTCCTGCGGCCCTTGGAGGTGCAGGTAAATATTTGTAAAGGCGAAATTGCCATGTTTACCGTCAAGCAACGCCACAGGGATCTAAGCAGGGCCCTGCCATATGTAGGTGGGGTACCATGCTGCCGCCCCCTCCCCCTCGCAGAGCTGGGCCAGCAGACAGCAAGGGTCATGAGGGGTGTTCCACTTGGGCAGGAAGTTGGGTGAAGAGATTACATCAGCTCTCAGCTCTCACCTTGGTTGGTCCTTCAAAGACAGAGGTGACTCACTCACTACCCATGTGTTGTTTACAAGAGGGGCTCTTTCCAGGATGCTGGCCAGTGCGGTGGGTCTGAGGGGCGGGCAGATGAGTGGAGGCACCCGGAGAATTCTGTGGACCCCCCCTTTACTCGATCTCTGGTATTCCCTTTCTTTTTCATCTGTGGGTACAAGCCAGAAAGGACCAGGGCTGCTGCTCTCAGCTGAAAGGTTGCTTTCAGGCTTGTTGCTGCTCAGGGCTGCATTTGTGACCACGTCCTGGAGACACCGCAACCCCCTCTGCTCACACTGTGACGGGCCATGAGCCACTCGGGTAACTCATGGTCTGACCCAAACTGTTCACGCTTGGCCTTGGAGGGGGCCACGGGCGCTGGTGTTTCGGGCACTCCCAGAGTCACACAAAAGGCAAAAGTCGGATTTTCAAGCCCTGACTCAGAAAAAAAAATGTAGGTCCCTGAGTCTGTGCTTAGACCTAGTCCCTTCTTACTCACTCTCTCTGAAGACAGGAAAGTTCAAGCCCCTCAACGTTCCTGCTTCTTTAGCAGGAGACCTCCAAGGTTCTGGTGATTGATTCCGTAATCCTCCTGGAATGAGAAGAATTACGATAAAAAAGCACTTATAATTTTATTATTTATTTACTTACTTATTAATTTAAAAATATATTTTTTATTGATTTCAGAGAGGAAGAGAGAGGGAGAGATAGAAATATCAATGATGAAAGAGCATTATTGATCAGTTGCCTCCTGCAGCCTGGGCATGTGCCCTTGGCCAGAATTGAACCTGGGGTCCTTTAGTCCTTAGGCCGATGCTCTATCCACTGGGCCAAACTGGCGAAGGCAGCACTTACAGTTTTAAATAGACACAATTTATTATGTACCATGTAATAAGATATGTAATAAGAATTTCTGTGGAAGGAATTCCTTTTCAAATGCAGGAGGTGGGCTTTACTATTTGACTGAGTCTGTAATATGCTTATCTGAGGAGAAAGCATCCAACTGTAATGAAATTATTGACCCAATAATTTTCCCACTTTGGAAGTTGAGATTTTTACACAGACATTTTCTTCAGTGCTTAAAAAAAAAATAATGTGCAGTATCCTGAAATCTTTATTGTAACTTTATGATTATAAAAGTAATACATATATAGTGCCATTTTTCATGCAGAAGTTTTAATTTTTATGTATTCAGACTATCAATCTTTTCCTTTATGGTTTGTGCATTTTATACTTTATGGTCGATTGCACAGATGGCGCGATCTTTCCACTCCTTGCTTTCCTGCATCTGTGCAATGTCTGTACAGCTCCTCCTGTCAGGAGGTGGTACTATCGCTACCCTACTGGACTCTCAGTACCTGCTTTGGCCAAGGGAATGCAATGGGAGTGAGGCTATGGGAGCTCTGAGCTCAGAGGCCTGGAACTCTGCCAGCTGCCAGGTACATGAGCTCAAGCTAGCCTCCTGGACGATGGACATGTGGCCCAGACACCCTCTGACCCAGTCCCCAGCTAACCTAACAGCCAGCCACAGTTACACGAATGAGCCCAGCAAAGACCTAAAGGCCTGCCCCACTAAGCCCAGACTTAACTGCTCAACTGCAGAATGGTCCATAGGGAAAGCTGGTTGCTGCTTTAAGCCACTGAGTTTTGGGCGGGCTTGTTAGACGGGAACATTGAAGCAGCACATGTTTTGCTAAAGAGGTCAGCAGTAGAGGCCTTCACCTTGAGATCAGACAGGCTCTTCTATATTCTCTTACCAACGTCTCTCCATTCCACTGCCTGGAATTAATTAATTAATCTGGAATTATTTTTTTTTTATTGTATGAGGTAGAGGCCTAATGTATATCTGCTCATTTCTACTTTTTGAATGTTTGAAATAGTTCATAATAAATGAAAACCATGAGAAAGGAAATATAGAGTTACTAACAAAAACTTAGAGAACTACCACAAAAATAAAAACAAGACTTCACCCCCAATCAATAAGACAACTCAGCAAGAACCACTTATAACTTGAAATATTTCCTTCTAGGTTTTTTTTGGGTGGAATTGAAATCAAATTGTTTTCCATTTTTCTCACTTAGCATGGCATTGTACTTCCCTATATCATTCCAATTCTCTAGAATAATTTGTAATAACCACATACAGTTAGTCACACAGGCTTACCTTCAGCTCTCTCTCACTGTCCAGTAAGAATGCTGGTAGAACATTGAATATTCTTGCATGCATATGCCTGATTAGTTCTTTAGGGTTATATCTAGAAATGAAGTTCCTGGGTCAAAAGATATGAACAATTTTAAGATCTAAAATATAGTTAGAGAAAGACACTCTCTAGAGAGGGAGCAGGTATTCACGCACCTCCGTCAGCTGTGGATGAGAGGTCCATCCATCTGCACGCACATCCTCCTGCTTTTGCTGAAATACATGAGTCAATTCAATCTCAGCTGATCCATTTAGTCAGAACGGGTCACATGCTAATGAGAATGCAAAATGTGGAAGAAGCACTTGCCAAGCAGAGAAGCCTGTAATGATTTATTAACACTGTAGCTGCAGTTCCTGAATGGTCTATTATGTCGACGGAGTTTTGTAGGTGTTGAACCATAGCTGTATTCCAGGAATAGATCCCACTTGGTCATGGTATATACTCCTTTTAATATGCTGCTGAATTTGATTTATTCGTGTTTTGTGGAGGATTTTTGAATAAATACTCATAAGGAATATGGGTTTGTAGTTTTCTTGTCTCTTAATCTGGCTTTGGTATTCAGATAACGCTTGTTCAGAGATTGAATGAGTAATCAAAAATCTCTGAATCAAGGAAAGTCCTGGACCCTGTGGCTGAAGTGGTGAGTTTTACCAAACATATAAAGAAGAATCAACACCCATCCTTCTTAAACTCTTCTAAAAAACCAAAGAGGAAGGAACAGTTTCTACCTCACCTCTATGAGATAAGCATATCCCAATACCAAAGCCATCCAATCTGTGGTATTTTGTTACGGTAGCCCTAGCAGGGCTTTTTGCCTCCTTCCCTGTTGGTGTGTCCTGGTTGCTGGCTTCTTCAGCTCCAATTTTGGGATAGATAAGGGAAAACGAAAACCCAGGTAACTCACCACTGTGTACTTCCTCTAGTCCTGTGATCTGTAATCAGTCTTTCTTCCTCTCTCCACCTTTCAGTCTTCCTATGTTTGTCTTATCTATAACATCCTGGGTTTTCAGTTGTACTTAGAGAAGGGAACAGGAAAAGGATATTGACTCCATCTTCTCAGAAGTGGACGTCTCCTTAGGTGCTCGCTTTTTTGTTGCTGGAAGGACGGGGTCACTGGAGAGGTCGAAGGCGCAAGACAGTGAGGGGCCCGCTGATGGAAGCCGACATGAGGGCAAGGGGCAGGTTGACACCTGAAGGCCGGAGAGGGGAATCAGCCCTGGGCAGGGGCAGGGTAAGAGCACATGGTAAACATGGAGCTAGGAATGGCAGCGGGTGCGGACAAACGAGAATGAGATAGAATGCCCAGCTTTACGCCACTGGCTTCGTCTCCTCCATGAAGGAGGAGCTGAGTGGTGAATGAACATGGAAGAGGTGGGATGAGGGGCTGGAGAAGGAAGATGGAGGCTTGGACCAGCTGTGAGTGGTTTCAGAGAAACCTCCCCTTGTTCTTGTGTGGAGGGCTGGCCATCAGCAATGATGGCAACTGCTGTCGCTCACATTTACTGCAGTGTGCTGCATGCCCGTGCCGGTCCTCCCCGCACTCCAGAGAGCCATGTGTTCTTGCTTCCCACTTGGTGGTGAGGAAGCCAAGCCTTGCAGATATGAAGTAACAAGCATTTCATGGCCTGAAGTGGCAGAGCCAGGACTTGACACTGAAGACCATGAGTCTGTGGAGTCTTCACCCCTGGGTGAATGTCTCTAGAGGCTGAGCATCCATACAGAAGTGGAACTGCTAGATAGAATCAGGGTTCCTTGAGGCAGAGGTGCCAGAAGGGCAGTGTGTAGAGTGTATTGGGACCAGATGGACTGAGGTAGTGACCATGTGTCTGGCTGAAGGAAGAATTAAGTCAAGACGATATGAGGCCCTGACTGGTTTGTCTCAGTGGTTAGAGTGTTGGCTCACGGACTGAAGGGTCGTGGGTTCGATTCTGGTCAAGGGCACATACCTCGGTTGCAGGCTCCACCCTGAGGGAGGCAACCAATCGATGTATCTCTCTCACATCGATGTTTCTCTCTGCCTCTCAACCCCTCCCTTCCACTCTCTATAAAAATCAAAGGAAAAAATATCCTTGGTTGAGGATTAACAAAAACAAGACAAAACAAAAAGACAGCATGGGGCTGATAATAATTATCTATAATAATAAAAGCATAATATGCTAATTAGACTGAACAGCCAAACGACCTTTTGGACAAAGCTGGGGCTGCGAGGACTGAGCCCCTTGCACGAATTTCATGCATCGGGCCTCTAGTAATTATAATAATAATAAAAATAGCAGGTCCAAGCTGCCAGAGATCTTGATGGGGTGGAAAACAGGAGGGAGTGATGTACTGAGGGAGGGTAAGAGGAGGTGGAAACAGTAGGATGTTGTGGTCAGAGAGGGAGATGCTAAGTTAAAGATTTCTTGGTAAGGCAGATTCTGGAGGTGACAAGGTTTGTAATGTGGGTGGCTGAAGGGTGGGGAGGACAAAGAATTTGAGGTCAAGAAACCCAAGGGCGGAAGGGTAGTGCACCTTTTTACACAGCTGGTCCCTGGGGGGAGATGGAATTGTTAGACGGGATCAAGTTCGCTGACACGTGTGAAAGCACTTGGTTCAAGCCATCACAATGGGCGCAGGGATCATTGCAGTGAGGACAACAGTGGGAATTTATAACCCAGGAATGGGTGGGGGCAGTGCATGGAAAATTACTACAAGGAAACACCCAGGATGAGGGGGTTGTTCTGGCGAAAGCAAGGTACCAGGATTCTTGCTGAGGCTGGTGAGGGCAGTGGCAGAGCCTGAGAAACCCAGTCGGGGCTAAGGGTGATCAGATATCGAGGATGGAAGCTCTTACTACAACCACTCTGCAGGGTTCTTGATAAAAACCGAATTTTACAAAGAAGTGCCCTGATGTATGGGCCTAGGAGAAGGTTCAGGAGCCTGATTCAAGTTTGATCAAGCAAAGAACCTTTGTTAAACAGACTTAGAATCCAAAATAGGAGCTGTCAGACCAGGGGGTGAATCCGGAGGGGGTGCGGGAGTGGGGGAGGGGCACAGCAAATGTCATGATGCTCAAAGAGAGGAGTGTTATGAGCACAGCTTGGAAGGGAAATCAGGGTAAAAGGGTTCTGATACTGTTCCTCACATCTGCCTTATTCACCCCCAGAGTTCCGGGGGTACCTCCATGTGGTAAGCCTGGTGCTGGGGACATTGGAACTCCGAGGAAATGACAGTCCAGGGCGGGGAAGGCAGACACGTGAGCCCACTTACAAAACGGTGGTAACAGCTACTTGGAATCAGGGAGAGTGACTGGTCTGGTCTGAGGGAGAAGCTGGGGTGCAAGAGCAGGAGGTGATGTTTAGGTTACCCCGAGGGACATATAACAGGTGGCACTATGGATCCGTGGCAGGGAAAGGCTGAGCTGAGAGAGAGCCTGGTGGTCTGGTGTGGGGAGCACAGGAGCCACGCATTGGGGTGAGAACTGGCAGGGGTCTCCCAAGCCAGTGGAGGTCATGGCCCCACCTTATTCTGAGTGTCCTACGTGGAGGGGGGTGACAGGGAACAATCAGATTTTAGAAAATGTGAAAAAGCAGAGGACATGAGCATAGCACAGTGGATTCAAGTATATAAAATGCATTGCTAGCCCGGCCGGCGTGCCTCAATGGTTGGGCGTCAACCTATGAAGCAGGAGGTCACGGTTTCATTCCCTGTCAGGGCACATGCCCAGGTTGAGGGCTCAATCCCCAATATGGGGCATGCAGGAGGCAACTGATCAATGATTCTCTCTCATCATTGATGTTTCTCTCTCTCTCTTCCTCTCTGAAATCAATAAAAACATATTTAAAAAAAAACCAAAATGCATCACTAGACTGGCACATGTCAAAATAAACAGGTTCAGAGAGGAAAGTCCGTGTTGGGAAGTTCCCTTTATGATGGCCAGCATATTGTTTTTGTAACAAAATGTGGTTAAAAAGAAAAGGGAACAAGCATGGGTTACCAGAATCACATTTTCCTGGCTGGAAAGAAGTCACAAGAAAACAACACAGGAGGAATATTTTACATTCCCTGTCTCTCCTCTCAGCCCCAGGGCGCGGCTGCTCAGTGGGACTTCCTGGTCTACCCCCAGAAGGATTAGGGACAAAGAGCAAATAGACTCTTTGTCCCTAATGGACTCTAATGGACTCTTATGGGCAGGCAGCGGGTGTGGCAGGAAGGAGATGACTCTAAGCACCCCCACCCTCACACAGAAATCCACTTGCCTAAAGAGCAGGTGGGGACCAAGAAAGGCCGAGGGCTCTTCCAGGTAAAAATTGGCTGAAAACAGAGATGTGGCAGCTTGACGCAAAAGAGGATCCCAAGTTGGGAGATAGCTTGCCAAGGGCTGTTTCAGGGCAATTGGCAACATGTGACGATGGACCAATGGACCGTGCATCTGATGGATAAGTTTCCTGATTTCCATCATTGTTCTGTGGCTACACAAAAGAATGTCCTTGTTCTTAGGAAATACACCCTGAAGTGTTTAGAAAGTATGCAGGACATGATATCTACCACTTCCTCCCCATTGTCCAGGAAAATAACGCATATATTAGACATGGAGGGGGAGGAGAATGATAGCACAAGGGGCGGGGGGCAAATATTAAGACTGGGTGTATCTGGACCTTCCATCCTTCTCGGCACCCAGCCAATGCCACGTGACCCGGAAGAACCCCTCAGCACCCACAGGATTTTGCCAGATAATAAGTAGTATTGGTATTTTAAGACAGCAAGCTTTCGGTGTTTCTTTTGTTACTGTAGCAAATGACAACCATACCCTAAGCTGGTCATGTGAATGAGACAGGAAATATAAAGTCTAATGGATTAGATCATGTGATCGTTGCTTAAGGCTTATCTGACTGAGTCTGAACCAGGTTATTCACCCCACAAGGACTCAGGACATCCCTGATCATTGTTCCCCTTGTTAGGATGAACTATTCCTAATCTCTCCTGCTTGGACATGTTTCTGAAATATACACTGTTATAAGCCTTTTCCCATAGCTTGGGACGGACAGCTGGTGTCTGCAAGATAAGGACTCCTCTCTGCCTGACTGACCTGTGCACTCTCCTCCCTTGCCTCCCTGGACTGACTCGTGCCCTCCCCTTCATTCCTTCTGCTTGACCATCTGGCGCACCCACACCCTGACCCTATGTTGCATACTTCTACCCTACATAAGAGAACCTAACCATCCCCATGGGGCTGACACCGACACACTGTTTTCAGCCCGTGGTGAGAGAATGCAATACAAT